CCCACGGCCCCCGCACGCGCCGCGGGCGCAAACCCAGTGGGCCGAGGGGCTTTGGGACGCGAAAGGGGAGCTTTTCACCGTGACTCTGACCCCGCCCCGACGGCACCGCCGGCCGCGTTGCTACTTTGTTGCCCTCCTGGAGCCTTGCCGTCTAGACACAGGTACCATTCCCTTCTGACGACTCTGAACCGTTTGCAGAGGGGCTAGTTACAGTGGGTTCGTGGCTGGATCTGAACATGAGCACCCGCTGCACTGCCGTCCGTGCGGGCCTTGCATCAGGAGTCAGCGATGAGAGGCGCGTTGGCCCAGCGGGCTCAGAGGCCTGGGCTCGAGCCCCCGGGGGAGCCCCAGGCCCGGGGCTGCCTCTTGCTGTGGCAGGGAGGGGCGCGTAGTGTTGTTCGGCAAGCGCAATGCTGAAGGAAGAGTGAGGACAGTGGAATCCTACACAGCTTGTCTTTCTTCTCAGGGGGCCACGGAAAGACGGGGGGCCCTGCGGAATGAACAAAGCTCTCCCTGGAGACTTGGAGACAATTCTGCTTTGCAAAGCGTGGCTCCATATTTTTTTATATAACATGATGCAGCCCTGACCTCTCTTTGAACTCCAGCCGGGCAAGCATTCCACCAGACAGACAGCATCTTCGTTCTTAGTGGTTTGCATCACGGCCCTCTAGGTTCTGGGCCCCCCACCCTCCATGCTCAGTTGCCCTTCCCCAGCTGGCCCTGCTGCCGCCAGGCCTCTCCCAGGCATGTTCCACCGCTCAGTCACCTAGAACTCTCTCCAGTCCACTCCTGTGGGCAACTCCAGCTGGCAAGGCTCATTCACTTTGGTGCTCCTGTGGCAAATACTTAAAGTATGACAGGTGTAAATCAAGGTTATTTCTGGCAATGAATTTGGTCCTTAGGGACCTATAGTCCCTCTTCTGGGAGGTCTCTTGTGGTAGAAAGGAATGACTATTGGATGGTGAGTCAGGGTGACTTGGACTTCCATTCCCATCTGTTTTCAATGAGCTCTGTGTTAAGTGAGGCAGATTCTCTGGGCTTCAGCTTGCTCATTTGTGAAGTGAAAGGGTTTTCCTAAGGGACGCTCCTGTGGCACCTGTAGTTAGAATGTGCACCACCAAAGACGCTTGCATGTGTTTCCCCCTGTGAAGCCTTCATGGAAAGCTCAGCCTGCATCCCTGACCAGGTTGAACATTCTGTAATTTGCACCAGCAGTTTCTTTTTAGATACGCAGAAACTTTGGGGAAATCCTAATGAGCATGTGTATGGTTGGAAAGAACTTCTAAAAAATTTTTTTTGGAGTTTTTCAAAAGTTTCCAAATTTAGGTATTCTTTAAGCTTTGGATCCCTGTACCTGTCCCCTTCTACTCCCCCTCAGTGCTGCTTTTCTGCCTTCTTGTAGGTCCCCACATCTCTACACACAGGACACTCCCAGGGAAGCAGGTGAGGCCAGAGCCTCGCCCAGGCTACCGTGTCAGACTGAGCCCGAGACGACCCCGCCGCCCTTGTTTAGACTGTCGTCACACAATGTAATTATTCCCTCCAAGCACATGCTCCCTTCATCCGTCTACTGGTGCAGGGAGCCTGGGGAGTGGAGGGCCTATGGGTCCTCAGAGAGCCTTTAGCTCTGGACATCAAGTCAAAATTGTCAATTAACCCTCCAATTCTGGGCTGAGAATTATGAGCATTTTTAATTTCATATATGACCAGGATCGTGAATATAATGTGACAGGAATGTGGGTCACGGCAGCCACATGGGACATTGTGCTCTGATTATTGCTCTTTGAGGCATCACCTAATTTTTCTCCATGTCAATCATTTATTCCAGGGGGGTCTTAACATCAAAATCATCTGGGAACTAAAGCCCCAACCGCACCAAGGGGAGCTTCCAATTCCATGGGTGGGTGTGGGGGCCTCAGAAGTGTGCACTTGGAGGAAGCTCTCAGGGGGTTTCGATGTGCTTCCTTGTTTAAGAACCATGAGTTTATTTATTCTCCTTATGAAGCGTACATTTATTAAGTGGCTACTGTATACCCTGAATTTCCCTTGCCTCTGTGGCTGAGCCAGAGCCTGCCAGAGTCTCAGGTCGAGTGACAGCAGCAGGCATAGGACCCGGTGGGCACAAAGCTCCTGACTGAATTACAAAGGGGCAGGTCCTTCCCAGAGGGAGAAGATACCGACTGCTCCACTTCTGACCAAGTATAGGGGAGAGGCAGCTTTATAAAAGTCTTAAGAATCCAGTAGCTAAAACACTAGCAAGTTCTGTTAATAACTTATGTGGGCGAATGTGACAGTCCAGAGTCAACGGAAGCCCCAGACATGACCTGCAGCTCTTTTCTGGGGTCTCCATCAGGTGCCACCCACTTCCCCAGATCCTTCTTGCATGAAGTGAAGACCTTAGGCCATGGGGGGAAGGGCAGACCCCCCACAGGTCCAGACAGAGTGTGCCTGTTTGGGGAAGGAGGGGTGGGGTTCTGTGAAGCTGCCATGAGCTATCCAGGAGGCCCAGGCTCATGAGACTGACCAAGAGAATGGGGAATGTCTCCCAGGCCCACCACAAGGCTAGCACCAAACAAGCGAAGGCATGGAGAGACACTCTCTCCGTGGCACAGCCATGCGGAGCCATGAAAGCTGGGGAAGGAGCAACGCTGAGAAAACCCTCTGGCAGGTAGTCACACAATGAAAGTGTTCGGCAATCGAAAGGAACGAAGTGCGGATTCATGCTATGGTGTGGATGGACCCTGCAAACAGTGTGCTCAGTGGAAGGAGCTAGACAAAAAGATCACCTAGCAAATGATCCCGTTTATGTGAAGCACAGAAAGTGCAGTAGCTGTGGTCGGACCTGCGGAGGATGAGTGGGGGCGGCCGCTGAGAGGAGTGGGCCTCCTCCGGGTGGTGAAAACGTGGTAAAATGGGTTGTGAGGGTGGACACCCAGCTCTGTGGATGTACTAAAAACCTGTGAATGGAACTCTTCAAATGAGTGAATTGTGTTAGGTGACTTATATCTCAATAAAGCTCTTTTAAAAATCCCTTCTGGAGGGATTTGAAGCTGCGGTACCCTGAGGGTAACTATAGCAACAATAAAACCCAAACGTCGTTCAACCACTGACTAGATTAACAAACTCTTACACGCATGTCCTGACAAGAGAAGAGGCATGCCCATTCAGGCACAAATATCATTTCCCTCAGTCTCTCCTGTCCTTATCTACAAAAATTATACAAAAAGTCAAGGAAAAAAACCCCCAGCCTATTTTAAAGAGATAAAACAATCAGAACCAGACCCAGGCATGGCCCAGATGTTGGAACTATTAGACAAGGGCTTTAAAATAACTGTGATTAATATATTAAAGATCTAGTGAAATAGGTGGACAACATACATGAACAGATGAAGGATTTCATCCAAGAGAGAAACTAGGAAAATCGTGGAATGAATTTTAGGAAGGGGACTATGACAGTAGGGTGGATGGTAGGGACCATGAAAAAGGTTAGGACGTTACTACAGGAGGCAAGAGGGGGCCCGGCTCATTGCAGGAACATTCTTATTCAGGGAGGGTGTTGGTAATTACTTTGAGTTACTGTCACGATAACTCAAAGTAATTACCAACAGAAGTACATTTTAAAACACAGAAGTATATTTTAAAGCAGAATTAAAAGGTTACAATTAATTTATGTAATCTAGCATCAGAAAATCCATGATGATGATGATGATGATGATGTGTGTGTGTATAGAAGTATATTTTTAAATAGAATTAAAAGGTTACAACTCAGGCACTCCCATCCTAGCAGCTGCCAGGTCTGTCTGGAGACACCGTGCTCTGGCACACAGCCCTTCCCCCAGGTGAGGCTGAGCTGAGCATCTGGGCAGGACCAGCCTTCTCAGTGGGCAAAGGGGTACTGCAGCTGAGGAAAGATAGTAAGAAGCCAGGAAAATTCCTTGGAAAATGGATTGGAGAAACTGAGGCAGGTAGCTGATTCCAACTGGCCTCATCCAGCACCCTGACTCACCTGCCTCCTTCTTCCTTGCATGACCACTCCCTTAAGCATTAAGCCCTCAGGACAATGACGTTCTAATCATCATCAAATAATCTTAGGGACAAAGCCTCTGGTCTGTTGAACACAGAGACAGAGTTTTGTTTAAATAACAAACTAGCCTCAGTTGTGTTTCAGCTCCAGGCCCAGAAAAGCAGCAAAACCAGAAAAATGAAACTATGGCTGATGTCAGGACCAGATGCAATGACCTAGTACTGACGAATCAGTAGAGACCACAACCCTGATCCAATATGCTCATTTTGATGAATCAGTATATTGAAGGACACGCCCGAAAAGCTGATGCATATTCTATTGAGATCCTCCTCTGAGACCTCCCATAAAATTCTTGCCTTTAGAAGAAAACAGACAAAAACCCTTAAGACAAAGGACCCAGTGCGTGCTCATTCTCTAGAACATGCCCATACCTCTTTTCTTCAGGCCTGTATCTTTGCTTTCTTTCTCCTAAGCTCTAAGGGTACCTAAGAGACTGGCCACCAGGGTAGCAGCAGGCAGTGGTAGCTCATACCAGGCTAACCCCCTGTCTCTAAGGGCCCTTCTTTTGCCTCTGTAACTTGTTGCCTGAGTCCACACAGCCCAGCTGGCTCACTTCTTCTGCCTCTGTGACTTTCTTTCTAAAAGGCCAAGGCAGCTCTCTAAGTGGCCTGCTTGAATCTTCTCTTTGAGTGTACTTTCACTTTGCATGCTAAACTTCCTTTTGCACTAGAGTTCACGGCTCTAAATTCTTTTTTTGCCAAACTCAAGTACTGAGAGCCAACATTACAAGTAGTAACATGGTTATTGAATAGCTCCCAACAACCTCCCTGGTTCTAAACTGTCCTTCTGCCGCAGTGCCAGGGTGTCCCGACCTCTTTTGTCAGAGAACTGATGGAGAAGGGGATCCTTCTCTTTGGTCAAATAATCATGCCAGAATACACAGCTTGTTCTGAGAATAAATGAAAAGAAAATTTCTTTAACTTAATGGGGCTGGGGTTGGAAGACCTGGGAGGGTGGAGAGCATGACTAGATGTAGGAGGTTTAGAAAAAGAGAAGAAAGGGAAAGAACTGAAGAGAAAGACAGCGCTCTTCCAAGAAAAATCCGCCTTCATCGATGGCTTTCAAACTTTTTTTTTACTTGACTCACTGTAACAAACATGTTTGTGATTCGGTGCATACGTACACACACTAAACTGGAATAAAAGCTTCACAAAATAATCTCACCCCTACTATGAGCTCTGTTCATACTCCGATATTTTCTCTGAGTCTATCCCATTCTTTAAGTGCCGTCACAACCTCCGAAGTTGATTTCTGACAGCTTTATTTGAGCATCACATACAGGCCATAAAACCTACCCATTTGGGTTTTGAGGGAGAGGAAAGAGGGTGTGTTCAGGCTGGGGGGCGCCCCACTTTACTTCCCTGCCTTCCAGATCCCCAGAAAGCCACCCTCTCTGGCTGCCCTTGGCCTTCCCAGTCTGGGGCGAGAAGCACCTGGCTGGCAAAAATGCCCCCTCTGCTTTACGGAGGGTGCCCCTACAGGCCCACAGGTCATGAAGGTTTTAGTTACTCCCATTTTTTAAAAAGGGCAGGAGTCACCTCCGGTTTTACTTTAAGATGCACAGCCTCCCTTCCATAAACTGGCAGAGGTGACTCGGAGGCTGCAGCCTGCTGTGGGAGCGGCAGGGACAGTGCCAGGACCAGAAGCCCCTCTCGGGGCTTCTCTCTGATCTGACGGGGAGGCGGCTGCCGAGCCACCCGAGGTGCAGGCAGTGCCTTTCTCCATGTTTCCCGCTACCACTTGTTTTGATATTTCTATGCAAATCTAATTACAGAAGATCCGGAAAACTCACAGAGTTCAAAATAAACCCACTAAGATTGTTCAGGATTTAAAAAAAGACATAAGCAAGACAAACTACCCAATACATACATGAGCCCTGATTGGATCCCGGTTTTTAAAAAAATTCTCTAACAGGCATTTTGAGGACAATTGGAGAAATTAAATGATATCTAATTGATTTTTTTAAATTCTCACCTGAGGATATTTTTTTTCCATTGCTTTTCAGAGAGAGTGGAAGGGGGAGAGAGATACATTGATTGGTTGCCTCCTGCACGAGCCCCGACCGGGGCCGGGGATAGAGCCAAAGTATGTGCCCTTGGCCAGAATCCAACCCAGGACCCTTCGGTCCGAGGGCTGATGCTCCAGCCACTGAGCCAACCCAGCTAGGGCCCTGATTGATTTTTTAAGTTGAGATGATATTGCGGTCACGTAGGAGATGCACACAGGAGTGTCAGTATGTGCGGCCTGCTTTCAAACGCTTCATAAAAAAGGGTGTGTGTGGGGAGGATACAAAGAGGAAGCACAAGTGGGCAAAATGTCAACAATAGGTGGCTCTAGATGAAGAGCAGAGGTGTTCGTTTTGTTATTCTTTCCACTTTCCTACGGGTTTGAAAACTTCTGAAATCAAATGATGGTGGTGGGAAAGAGCTCCCAGTGGTTTAGCTCGGTGAGCAGAGGACACAGGAGCCTGGCCAGAGCCTCCAGGTTCTGTAGGTAAGAGGCCGCTGCCAAAGCACGGTGTGGGCGACGGGCCTCTCCCTTACCGCAGACGAGAAAGGGCGGGTGAGCGCAGTGCCCCGCGGCCGAGGGGGACTTCCTTGGGGAAGGGTTCCAGAGGCGGGAGGTCTCTGGAGACAGAGCCCAGTCTCTCGGGCCCACTATGAGCCCAGGTGTGGAGAGGGGGGGTTGTGAACCCCTGTTCTCTCTTGAGCTCTGAAGCGCCCCCGTGATGTTTGCTGGGCAGTTGGGGGCAGCCTTTGGATCTAATTCAGCCCCACCATTGTTAACCGAGCATCTGGCCTGCCAGGCGCCACCCGGGTTGGGAGACGAAGCTGCTGCACTGCCGGACTGCAGGCAGATGAATAGCCGAAGGGCCAAAGAACCGCGGACACTGGGCCCAGGCCCTGCTGCGGCCCTCAGCCCACCCCTCTGAGCTTCCGCATTTGGGTTCATTTGGACAGTGGTGCGCTAAGGTGATGGGCACACCTACTCCTGCTGCCCCTGGGCCGCTTGTGTGAAGGGCTGGGAAGAAAATAAAGCTCCTGTTTTATACACAGACCTGGGATGTGTGATTAGAAAGTATTTCTGTTGTCAGGGATCTGCTAACCTCCGGGTGCCTGCCAGAGGACGGCCATGTGGAGTGTGGCTGCCTGCAGCCTGTTTTGTTCTACACGGGAAATGAATCGGAAAGTTAACTGTGACTCTTAACCCTGCATCCTGGAAGTTCTAGGTTTAGATAAAATCCGTTTCCTCGTTAGCCTGTGAGTAAGAAGATGATTTTTAAATTCCCTAGCAGCTCTCACATCCTGTGACTGATCAACACCTGTTCTAACTTAAACAAAACCAGCTGATCTAAAACGCAGCCTGATTGTCCTGTTTCCTCTGTTTCTAAGAAAGTAGTGAGCATGTGTGCGGGAAGTACACAATGAAGAAGGGACATTCGCGTGTTAAACGAAAATTTTAGCTTCCACTACTGAAATTCTTTAAAAGGAAGGGTTTATTAGGCCATTGCTGGCAAAAAAGACGACCCATCCTGGGACGCGGAGCCTAAACCACCACCAGCAGCATGGCTCGTGGGACCTGTCTGTCCCCTTGGGGCTTTGCAAGCATTTTTATACATCAAGTAGGAGAGAGAAAGATGTAAGCTGCTCTGAAAGGATTTGCATGAGCTGTAGACAAAGGGGGTGGGGGAGGGTGAAGGGTCTCGTTCTGGGACAGGCCGCCACAGCCTGCACCAGAGTCTAAACGAGAAGCAGAGGCTCCAGGGGTCTGAGGGCACCTAGATATTCTCCATTTTTAGATAATCTCAGAAACAGCCACCTGGGAAAAGCTCACTTAATAATTCCAACACACACTAAGGAGCGTGAGCAGCCTTTCGTTGGTTTTGTTCTTCAGTCGTTAACCGATTGACTCCTGTAGAATGAGCCACCCCCAAGATGCGCCTCAGCGGTAGGAAGATTTTGAGCTGGACTCTGTTCACAAAGCAGTAACTTTGTGCCTCATTCCTGTTGGGCTGATCCCAAACAGGAGGGCGTGGTGCATGGAGATTTGGAACTGAACTCCATGCCTGTAAATGTTCACACATTAAATTGTTGTACATGTGATACTTGTACAATAAAAAGTATTCTCTAGCCCAGCTGGTGTGGCTTAGCGGTTGAGCATTGACCTGTGATCCAGGAGATCATGGTTTGATTCTCAGTCAGGGCACATGCCCGGGGTTGTGGGCTGGATCCCCAGTGGGGGGGCGTGCTGGAGGCAGCCGATCAATGACTCTCTCATCATTGATGTTTCTCTCTCTCTCTTTCTCTCTCTCCCTTCCTCTTTCTGAAATCATTAAAAAGTATTCTCTATAGAAAAAAAAAGATTTTGAGCTAGGGGCAACTGAGACCCTGTGGGCTGAAAAGGAACTTCTGCTCCTCCCTTGACTAAGAGTTTGCCCTGGATGGTGTGGCTCAGTGGTTAGTGTTTGCCTGTGACTTGAGGGTCTTGGGTTCGATTCCCAGTCAAGGGCACATACCTGGGTTGCAGGTTCACTTCCTGGCCCTGTCGGGGTGCATGCAGGAGGCAACCAACCAATGTGTCTCTCTCACATGGATGTTTCTCTCTCTCTCTCCCCCCTCCCCTTCCACACTCTCTAAAAATCAATGGAAAGACATCCTCAGGTGAGGGTTAACAACAACAACAAATAGAAGACTTTAAATTAGAGGCCTGGCTCATGATAACAGTTATCAGCAGAAATGACTTCTTACCTATCTAGGTGGCAGGGTAAGCTACTAATTTCTGAACATGTGCTCTCACTGCAATGAGCCTTCGAAGCCCCCAAGGGGCCTTACCTCGTCCCTCGCTCAGTGTGTCTTATATACCTCAGTCCCCCTTTCGATCTCTGAACCTCTCCCGCACGTGGATCTCAGGCTCTCTCATGTATACAGGATTCCTCTATGTATGTATGTGTTAAATCTGGTTATTTTCTCTTGCTAATCTGTCTCATGGCTATGTGATTATTAGACCAGACAGAAAAACCTTGAGGGTAGAGGAAACTTGTCCCTCCCCCATCCCCCTTTTTGTCTCTTCCTTCCACTCTCTGGCTTGCTATAATTTAATTTAAGACATCTCAGGATTTTCTCCATATCACATGCGTAGAGCTGAGTGTAGTAAATCAAATTCATAGCAAATATGATGACACCTGCCTGATCATAACAGAATTGTTACTGTGTTGACAGCAAAAGACAAAAATGAGCAGCATGCCTCCTGCATAGCTGTAAGCAAATGGCCTTTCCCAGCCCAACCTAACTCTTCATTTATTTCCCCCGTCACGGAATCAACTCTAACACCGACCGTTTTTTTCTAATACAGTACCGAGCCCTGTACAAGAGTCTTCAGCATGTTCTGGAGGTGCTGAATGAGGTGACAGCACCCTGGGGTCTAGTCCCTGATGAACCCTTTGCAAGCTGGGTGACCTCTGAGCCTGTTTCTTCTGCTGCAACGTGAGAGGGCTGAGCAGACCAGATGTGAGGACTCTCTGCCCAAAGGTCCAGAGCTTCCCCAGCAGCCCCCGGCCACGCTCCTGGGACCTTCCCGCTCCCCCTCCCCTCACCCTGGCCCCTTATCTTGAGCACACACAACAGGGTGTGTGGGACTGGGGGCCAAGGCAGCGGCAATCAGCCCAGGACCTGTGGAGGAGTGGGGAGACCCACTGGGATGGGCCGGGGCAGAGGCCACATGAGGGGGCCGCCCAGAGAGCAGGCTCTGGACTAGCCCCACCAGGTGACTTGGGGCGGAGGGAAAGGGAAATAAGGAGAGGCGCCTTCAGCTTGGGATTTTTAAAACCAGCTGAAACAGGGCGACTTTCAGGACTAGCCTTTAGCAGTTTATATTTTAAAAAATAGTCTTTATATTATTTTTCCATTAGGAAGTAATAGATAAGTTTTGCAAGATAAAAAGTTCTGGAGATCTGTTGCACAACAGTGCGAATATACTAATGCTACTGAATTGTACACTTAAAAATGGTTCAGATGGGACTTTTCATGTTATGTACTTTTTAACCACAATTTTAAAAAAGGGGTGGGGGAATAACAAGTAAGCTTCACAAAGGTTAACTACCACCTCCCTCCCCCCAAACACCATTAATTAATTAATGAACATTTGACACATTTCCTGTCAATCTTTTATTCTCCAGCTAGTTTTCTTAAATTTAGTTAGGTTCATATTGCATGTCTGCTTTAAAATGCTGAACTTTGTAAACGTAACTTCGTGCTAGTACGATGCTTCCTGAAAAGCATTTTTAATGGCTGCCCAACGTGCTCTAGCATATCCTAATATGTTTGTCCATTTGGGTTGCTTCCCGTTTCCCACTATTATTATTTTAAAAATGATTTTTTGGTTTTTTACCCTTGCCTGAGGATATTTTTTCCATTGCTTTTCAGAGAGAGCTGGAGGGAGAGAGAAACACTGATGTGAGAGTCACATTGACTGGCTGCCTGCAACTGAGGCACGTCCCCCCCGCCAGAATCAAACCCGGGCCTTCAGTCTGCAGGCCGGGCTCTGACTGAGCCAAACCGGTAGGGCTTCCCACTACTCCTAATCATGCTTCTGTAAACATCTTTGTGCATAAAATAGTATTTGAATTTAGAACTGAAGATGGGTTCCTAGAAGAGGAAATACTGGGCCAAACGGTATGAGCAAAAGCATTTCGATAGATGTTGTCAGTGCCCTTTGCAGAAAGGGAACAGAGAGAGTGTCGGTGCGGGAGAGAGCTCCGGGCAGCTGGAGGATGAGATCCACTCAGCGAGGAAGGCGATCCTCCCGCCCCCATGCCTCCTCCCCTCCTCTCCCCAGCCTGGAATTCTTTGAGAAAGAGACAAAGCCTTTGTCCCTCCTTTTTCAGGGCAGCTGGCAGGGGGCGTGATTAGAGGAGAGGGGATTAGAGAGGTGGAGGTGGCCCCGGAAGACCCTGCCGATCACTGAGGAAGGAACAGGCCCTCCCACCAGCTCTACCCCAGGGTCTGCCCCGTGGCACTGCCCTGTTGAGATAGAAACTCACTAATACTGCTCTATGCCCACAGGGCCACTTCACCTGCACCCTTCGTCCAGGGGACCAGCCCTGGCAGTCTCGTTTGCCAAGTGTTCTCTGCCCAGTCTGTGTGATCTCAGCAGTGTCCTCTCCTTGGGATGTTTGAGCATATAACTCACTAGCAGACGCAGCTGGATTAGTGCCTCAGGGAGCTCAGGTCAGACAGCGTGTCTCAAATTTCAGCACTGCCGCAAGGGGAAATGGGGATAGAACACCAGCCTTGCAGGGTTGTTGGGCAGGTTATGCATTGATCACGTAGAGTCCTTTCTGGTGTCTCGCTCAGAGCAGCACTGGACACCTTTGGCTCAGTGTGTGTACCGCAGTGAGTGCTGTGCCTCTGAGGCCTAGAGTTGTGGAAGACAACCTTGTATCTTTGAGCCCATTGGGTTATAAAAATATTAAGGCCACATTAAGCAAAGCAGAAGTTGATTTAAGTGATCTGAAAGGTAGTTGTGTGTGTGTGTGTGTAACAGAGAAATTTTCTGGTCCCAGACTCCAGTTGGACATGACATCACCATACAGGCGTCAAAATCGAGCTTATTGTCTGCCCTGCAGGTCTGCACCCACCACATGATCGTGCCCTCACTAAGCCCGCCCATGATCCGATTGCCCAGGTGTGCTGCATTGAGGAATCTTACCTCCTGGATAAGATTATAAATATCTAACGTGAGTGACTAGACTTCCTGTACGTTGCCCACAATACTCAGCACATTACATACTACGCAGCTGCACCCAGTGAGTGACTGCAAATGAAGAAAACAGAATGGCAGGGAATTTGCAGGGCAGAACTGTCCTCTCTGAAAGGAGGACCCAGCATATTATGATGGGAAACAAAGGAAATGTTATAATGCCTCCCTAAACCAGGGTTTTCTCCAGTAAAGTATAATTCAGATGGCATTTTAAAAATATAGTCAGAATGGTTCACAACACATGATGATTAACCAGCTATCTGCCCGAATGCCTTTCCTCTTGCTCCCCGCTGGGCTAGGTGGGAATAGTTTTGTATCTTGTTGTGGTCTTGGCCCTGAAAGTTCCAGTGCAGGGCGGCGGGGCGTGGCGGGAGGGCTGGGAGCGGGGCCAGCCCTGCCTTCCCTTTGACGAGCCCAGAGGCTCTGGGGTCGGTGGGCACTCTCTCTGCCTAACAGGCTTCCTAGGAAAGCCACGGAGATCATGTAGGTGAAAAAACGCCTGCAAATCACAAACTGCCAAGTCAAAGTAATGCAAAGTTCTCGTTCTTTCTTCTCTACAGTAAAACTCTAGCTATTTAAAGAGCAGAACTCTGTTGGAGCTGAGAGCCCCGCTCCCAGCTGTCTCAGCTGCTATCAGGAATTCTGCGGCTGCCACTCCCTCGGTTCTCAGCTGGCTCAGTGATTCAGAAAACATCTCTCCCCACCCACCCTAACAGCTCAACCCCCAATTCTTTTGTCCTTCCCTACTTAAGTATCTTTGTGACTAGCTCCCAAATATAGGCTACGTGGCTCCTTCGTTTAATCAGGCAGAAACAGCAGTCTGGCGCTGAGCGTCCGCGGTGCTCCAGGAAGGGAGCCGCCCTTTCCCATGCATCTCATTTAATGGTCCTCTTTCCCACGGCGGGTATTATTCACACTTTCACAGATGAGGAAACCAAGTCTGAGAGAGGCCAAGTAACTTGTCCCGGCCACACATTCGGATTCTAGCCCCTTCTTTTTTAAAAATTTTATTGTATTGGGGTAAGAACACTTAACATGAGATCTATTCTCTTAGCGAAGGGTGCACTATGTTATCGTTGACTATAGGTTCAATGTTCCACAGCAGACCTCTAGAACTTGTTCATCTTGCCCAACTGAAACTTTGTACTTGCTGATTAGTAAATCCCCATTGTCCGGACCCTAACTTCTTAAACAAGAAGCAGGACCCTGGAGCCCTGGGCTGTATGGATACTGGCACAGTCCAACAGGACTTTTCAGCTGCAATGGAACTGATTGGAAACTGATGAAACAGGAAGAATAGTTTTATCCAATGCTCATCCCACTCTGGGGACGCACTGGGCAGCTGGCCTCCTCTCCAAGGCCCTGACAGAGGCCAAGACTTCTCCACCTTCTCATCTGGCTCCCACTCAACAGAACAGCTGGAGAAGTGGCACCTCAAGGGCTCCCGGCTATTTTTATGTGGCCATCTGCCCTCCAGCGCAGGCCTGGCAGGCAGCAACACGGCCCAGGAATGCCACAGCAGGTGGGTGACACCCTGACAGCTGAGGACACCCAGCCATGCTCCTGACTGTTGTTCTAGGGACATGGGAAATGTGGTGTGAGGATGCCAGGAGGAAAAAGAAAGACTTACACGTCATAGCTTGGGGTGATGTGTGCACCCTTGGTTCACTTTCTATTTCTAGAACAAGCTGAGCTCTGCCCTGCCATTGCCAGGGGAGCACAATGCGCCAGTCAGACGCTTTGGCCAGCTGCTGACCTCAGTCAACCAGAGGAGAGGGCAGAGCAAACGCTCCGCAGAGGAGAGGCACCCAAAGAAAGCCTTGGGCTTCAGCGTGTAATAAGACCTGGGTATTCCTGTGGTGGCCTTGACTGGAAGCTAAGCTTGGGGCAGTCAGATGACCAGGCCCTGGCAGGGCTGCCATCAGATTTGTGGTTAGAGGATGGGTTTGCTTCATTCACAGTGTCCTGGGCAGGAGAGAGTGTTTAAAAATCAATCAATAAAACCCCTTTTCATTATAGAAAATTTTAAACATACACCAGTTAGAGATTAGGACACTGAAGCCCCATGTATCCATCACCCAGCTTCATGTAGAAGCATTTCTTAAATGCTTCTAATAAAAGAAAAGAAAAAAAAGGTGTGTTTGTATCAGATCTATTGTGTTTTAATTTGTTCTTTTCAGGAAGAAATGGGAAAATAAATGGGTCCGCTATTTTGAAGATAGTATATTGAATTTCTGGTACATCTGCCTTTTTCCTTAGGTAAAGGATGTTTATTTCCAAGCACTGATGGGTGCCTACTGTGTGCCAAGCTCCCTTCCAGGTTATATGTTTGGATCTACTGGAACAGCATCCACCAGCTCTTCAGATCCAAGAAGAGATGGGTCGAGGTGTCTGGAGCCCTGGGCTGGCAACTGGTGGGATTTTGAGACAGGCAATTAAATTCTAAATTCTAGGCTTCCTCGTGTGTAGAGTAATCATGATAATGTTGATCTTACTATTGTTATGAAAATCAAATACAACTATATTTAAACCATAGACCCAATGGGCATTTGGGGGAGCAGTTTTGCAGCCATCCAGGCAGCCCTGACTCCCGCCCTTCCAGTGACTGTGAGCACCTCACTCCCTGGGTGAAATCTTTTTCTGCTTGAACTGTGTAGAATGACTGTTCTTCCTACAGCAAATCCTGCCTGAAAAGGGCAACTCAGAGAATGAAAGAAGGGCCACCCACAGCCCTGGGGCAGCCGCCAGAGCGAAAAGGGCCCTGATGCAGCTGGACCTTCACTCTCTCTCCTGTTTCTACTTGGTTTGGCCTCTGCATCTTTCTCTTAGGCTTTTTATGTGGCAGAGGCCACGGATGCTGCTTGGACCAGCCTGGGCCACATGGTGATTTTACTTTTGGCAGCTTCACCCAAACACTGTAGAGTTGGGTACCAGCTGTTCCTCATAGAAGGGCGTTTGTGTCACCTGAAGAATGGGAAGGGATGCTTTGCAGAGAGAAGCAACCCGTGACACGGGAACTTTTAACCAAGACAACTAAGACAAGCAGTGGCCTCTGGCACCCGGGGGCTGTGTTTGCTGTTGCTGAGTGATCCAGCACACCACCCACCCCAAGACGCAGTGGCCTAAAAGACAGGCCTTTCTTTTCCCCTCCTCCAGCTGCTGCCTGGCCGGCTGCTCTGCAGGCCACCGGGGTGAGGCTCTAGGCTGGGGGCAGGTCCAGATCTGCTACATGTATCTCACTTTGGGCCCCTGCTGAAAGGGCAGCGGCTACCTGGTCATTTTCTTGTTATGATGATCACTAGGGTGCCTGAGGCTGGGCCAGGCAGGCCAGGCCAGGCATGCGAACGGAAGGCTCAGCTCAGGTCCTGTCTGCTAAGACGCCAAGCCTGCCGTCACCGGCTCCAGCACCAGGAAGGAGAAACAACCCGGTCTCCCTGGGAGCGTGAGAGATGAGTGTGCTCTGAGTGGCAGGGCGGAGACTCATGCTCGACGACCTGGCTTAATTTGAGGGTTTGCTTTTACAAACTGTTCTTCTCACGTTTGTGACTGGCTTTAGATATTTTTATTATTGGTTGTTATGTTTTTTTGTTTTTTGCAGCTATCAGGATCTACGTGTATTTCTGTCCTCATGTAATGAAACCTTACTGGTTTTGTTTGTATTACTATTTTCAGCCTGTTTTAACATAGTTTCTTATTTGATCCTTATAACATTGTGGGTGAGAGGGGAAAATATCATTAAACCCATTTTACAGATGAGGAAACTGAATCTCAGAGATATTCAGTAACTCCCCCAAAAGTCAAGCAGCTAGCAAAACAGAACTAGAACTAGGACCTAGATATTATTTGGTTCTTCAAGAATAACCTATGTCCAGCAAAGAGGGTGATACTTTAAAAATGGGAAGAACTGCCCTGCCAGCGTGGCTCAGTGGTTGAGCATCAGCTTATGATCCAGGAGATCGTGGTTCGATACCTGGTCAGGGCACATGCCCGGGTTTCGGGCTCGAGCCCCACTATGGGGCGTGCAGGAGGCAGCTGATCAATGACTCTCTCATTATTGATGTTTCTCTCTCCCTCCCTCTCTCTGAAATCAATGAAAAAAAAATATTTTTAACAAAGAACAAAAACAGAAAAATAAAATAAAAATTGTGCCAAGAGCCCTAGCCGGTGTGGCTCCGTGGTTAGAGCGTTGGCCCCGGGCACTGAAGGATCTCAGGTTCGAGTCCCAGTCAAGGACATGTACCTGGGTTGCAGGCTGGATCCCTGCCTGCCGGCACGTGCAGGGCCAACCAACTGATGTGTCTCTCTTACATCGTTATTTCTCTCTTCTCCTCTCCCTCCCTCGCTTATACTCTATCTAAAAGCAATGGAAACATATCCTCGGGTGAGTATTAAAAAAACAACAACAAACTGTGCCAAGAAAATCCATCTGGGCATGGAATTCCTGAGCCACCTCATTTTGATCCTAATTTTATAGAGGAAGGAAGAGACTTGCGGCAGGGAAGCCTGTTCACAGCAGGGTGACTGTACCAGCCTGTCCTCGGCCCTGAGGTAGTAATGGCTTTTAGAAAATCTCATTCTAACACCCTTAGCTCTTGCCAGGCCTGGACTCGGTCTCCTGCTCACGGCGGAAAGTGCGCCCTGAATGTAGCCCACCCCAGGGCACGTGGGGGGGTGTGCACCTCCCAAGTGGGCGCACCCCGATAAACACCAAGGGGCGCACAGACACGGAAGGGTCAGAGCACTGAGCTCAGCAGGACGATTTCCTTTTTTTCCGGATTATGACCTAGAAGCCAATGAACTGGAGCTCTGGAACTTGGCCCCCTCAAGGGCACGCAGAAAGGCCCTGTGCCCTTGAAAGGGACACATGCCACAGCGGGGACTCAGCTAATAACTTAGTCACGGTGCCATCTAAGGCCCTGCAGCGCCTCCTCCTCAGGGTCCTCGCCCGGAGCGGTTTGCAGGCCCTGAGGCTGCCGCTGGAGCCAGCCCTGCCCCGCCGGCCGCCCCCCCGCCAACCGCAGGACCAGCCTCCCTCCCAGCTCCTGGGCTAAGTGCGGGTTACGGGGAGCCTAAGATTAGAACAGCGGGGCACGTGCGGAACGCACGTCGCCGGATCCGGACCGGAGACGGGAGGAGCGCACCTGTCGGGACCCTTCCCGTAAGCCGAGCAGGTCTGAATTCTGCCAGTTTTCCCCCATCGGCGGTCTCACAGAGGGCCTCCGGGGTCTCCGACGTCAGCGGCCCGGCTGACATCACCCCCGTCCCCCGCCCTGTGCCCAGGAGCCCGGAGCCCCGGGAGCGGTTCAGCGAGCTCGGGGGCCTCGCCGCCCCAGGCTCCCAGAAAGGCCCGGGCAGGGGGGGCCGCGGCGCGCCCAGGGACCCCGAATTCTGAAGGGCCGGCCCCGAGTGGACGCGGGTGCGCCGAGAGGTGGCGCCTCCGGGCTCCCCTTTT